TGTGTCGCTTCCAGCCCACCTACCCCTACCTGCCACAGGAGATCATCAACCTTCCCCCCATCATCTGCCTGTCAGATGGGGAGGAGCTGCTGCCCTACAAGGGTCCCTGCAGCCTACAGCTCCGCCACCCAGAGCAGCAGCTGGAGCTGATCCGAGCCTCCGTGCGCGCTCCCCCGAACCGGACCGTCTTTGATGGTGACCTCATAGACGTTTATATACACAGTAAGAGTGTGCAGGCCCCCAGCAGTAACTCTGGAACCGGTGATGCCGATTCCAGGATTGAAGGTCCCCCACCCTCTTACAGTGAGGTGATGAAGGACTACCCGGGCTCTACAGCCTGTTACAGCCAGTATAGCAATAATGACCGCCCAGAGACAACAGGTTAAGACATGACAGCCCACAGACACTATACAACACTGGCAGCAGTGGCCCTGAAAGCACAACAAAGGCCTCCACTGAATTCGAGCCCTGACACACCAGGCCGACTGTCAACTATGGGCCAATGTCAGGCTGTCAGTGAGCGTTCATCGCTCTACTTTTTGCCGTGTGTCCCACGCCATTGGCACTAGTTGGCCCTTGTTGGCAGCTTTTTGGCCGATTCAGCACGTTGAAGCCTGTTGGTCAGTGAGATGCCTCTGATTGGCAGTTCACTCAAGGTTCAAGGTTCAAAGTTCGGTTTATTGTCATTTTAAGGTGTTAAAAACAAAGGTCTCCTAAAGTCCACAACCATCTCCTTAGTTTTCCCCCCAGTGATGCAGAGATTGTTTGCTCTGCACCAGTCCACGAGTTCTTCCACCTCCTGCCTGTACAGGCTTGTCGTTGTTGGAGATTAGTCCAACCACAGCCGTGTCATCTGCAAACTTCACTGTATGATCGCTTGGGGACCTTGCAGAGCAATCGTGAGGAGCATGTACAGCAGGGGGCTCAGGACACATCCCTGTGGGGAGCCAGTGCTGAGTGTGATGGTGGAAGACTGTGGCCTGTTTGTCAAAAAGTCCAGAACCCAGTTGCAGAGAGATGGTTTTAATCCCAACAGCAGCCATTCAGTGCACAAGAAGAGAAAGGGAAGTGAGGAAAGTAAACAAACAACTAAAGTCAAGAGGGCGTGAGATCACAACAAACTCTTCAGCAGAAGTGGTTTGTATTTGTTTGTGTTATTGTTCGCTGGGGCAGAGTTAATACCCTTTGTCCTTTCAACATCAGGTTGTGTTGCTAATGTGCTTCTTGGCTAACCAGCATCTTGAATCCATCCCGCTTTTTCTTTTTTAATGACGAATACAAACCACTGCTGTCTGCTGCTATGAAGAGTTTTGTCCTCTCATGCAGGTGCAAAACATACATGCTGTCCTCTGGCCATTGTCTTTGCTGTGAGTTCAAGTGCAACTTTTAGGCCGGGATACAAGGATGTGAGGCTACGCAGCAGTAGGCCTTCATTGCCACTAGTTCTTTGATGTCGGTTTGGTGTGTCTGGGCCTTTGAACAAGCTTAAACAGCTAACTGAAGTATGAGAGAGGAAGGAGAGGAGCTGATATATGCTTAACAATTCTTCTGTCACCTGAGGGGAGAGCAGTATTTCTGTCTTAGCTTTACTGCCACACCAAACATGAACTAATTCCAGGAGCTAAACTGTTTTTATGTAATATTAAAGCTGCAAGATTTTTTTCTTAGGTAATATAAATGTATGCTTTGGATGTCTAATTTTTTGTCCTTTTCATTTCTACATGTTGACAATGTTCTGACTCTGTTGCAAAGAAGATGGAGCCCAGTCATTTGACAGTAGGTGATTTACTGTTTAGAGTTACCAGACCTGTGCATAAACCCCTCATAAATCCAGAAATGAATCACCAGTCATGGGCACAGACTGTAGGATGTAAGTTAAGCAAAACTTGAGTTGCACTATAATTTAAAAGCAGAGAGTGTTTGTGTTTTAGAAGCTCCTAAGATCAGAATATTTTTTTTCCGACAGATTAAACTGTGAGCCATTTTTCTCTTTCTGTTTACACTGCTGAGAACATGGTCCATGCGCTCTTTGTTTGGATGTCACCTTTTGAGAATGGACTGACACCAGGGCTGAAACAATTAACCATGAATGATTCTTTTTATTATTGATAAATCTGTTCATTAGTTAGTCAGTTGTATTCCAACACCCAGGCAAATGATTAACAGCTGATTATCAAAACCAACTAACCGATTAATTAACTTATTTTTGTTTCAGCACAACTGCTGTTAGCAAGCTAACAGCAGTTGTTTCAGCACAACTGCTGTTAGCTTGCTAGCAATGTCAGGTTTCTGTACAGTTCTGCACTTTAATGTTTTTTTGTCAATACAGTTTGCACTTACTGTAAGACCACATCGAAAACCTCGCACTGTATAGCTACAGTAATGCACTGAAAGATTCAGTTTTAAGATTTTAAATTCAGTATGAGCAGAACTGACCTCATTACACACCCTCCAGCTACACACCGGTGCACATAGAATTTAGGGGAGCTTCTCCTAAATGACGTTATTTTGAAATTGGCACTCCATAAACATTCAGAGATATTTTATATATTTGCTGGTAACCAGAACCGGTGATTTATTATTATAATGTTTTAATATTCTGTTAACAGATATGTATTTCAAAAACATGACATTTTCATCAAAGCACTCAAAACGCCTGACATCATCAGCAGATGATGATAAAGTTGATAAAGTCTTGCTGTCATTAAACATGTCCAAAGTTATTTAAATTCATGAAGAAGGTTCATCTGTTTACTGTGGAGGCATGTGTGAAACAATTACGTTTTCTTTAGTTCTCCATGAATTCAAGGTAACACGTGGTGATTAATTGATATACAAATAGTCATTTTGTGGTATTAATTCCTTAAAGAAATCCCACACACTTTGCAGACTGAATAAAATCGCAATATCTTTGCACATGGACAAAATGCTTTTTTATGCTTTTAAGACCTGATGTTATGGAGCCATGCTTGTTTGTGGGATATGCCTCGGATGCACCCACATAAAAATATGTATTTTATATTTATTAGATGCTGCAGCTAAAGGAAACATTTGGCAAAGCCTGTAATAATTTCTTAACGTTGGAGCAGAATTTGAATTTGAACCACAGTTGAGGGAGTTTTACCATAATCTCCCAGAGTAGCCTGGACTGAGACTTGCTGCTGTGTCTGTCTTTATGTGTCTGATTCAGAGAATGAAGGTTACATGTTGTCTTTAGTGCTTCGGCTACATACATGCTGCAGCTGTCAGTGTTAGTACTTTTCAAATTTCACGTGTTGAAATTATTTAGGAAAAAATATTGAAAGATGACTTTTGTTCTGTTTTAATATTTCCTTTAAAACAAGCTCTTTTGCTCTTGTAATTTCCAGTTTACAGTTTTTCTGACTTGTTTTCAGGAGGGTTTGCATGTTACATGAATATGAGCTAACTCGGTGCCTGATGGTGACAACTGCATCAGCCACAGGAAACTACTTGCACTTAAGAAAAACCCACCTCTGTTGTGCCTCACTTCCAATGGTGCTTTTTCAGCAGTCTGACTCTTGAGTCGTGATCTGTAAAGGACTGTATATAAACTTAATATATTATGCACATGCTCTACCCAGGAGGTAGAAAAACCACAAGAGAACATGGTTGAAACTGTAATGATGTAAACATTAAAGCAAAGGGAATGCATACAGGATGTGTTGTGTCTTTTTTATCCCTGTAGAGGAAACAGAAGATGTTGTTTTACAGGCATGAGCTGGAGAAACTGTACATTTAGCGGTTCAGACCTTTGTCCCATAAACTGTCCCAGTTTATCATGAATACTATACTAATAGCTTGTTTTGAGGATTTTGTTACTGTCATTATGCAATACAGGATTGCAGATCAAATTAAAATATTTAAATTCGATGGAAAATAAGTAATAAAATAGACAATAAAATGAAGTTTACGTAGTTGACAAAAGGTTATACATTTACTAATTTCATATCAGCTGTACTGAGGAGCCATTTTAATTTTCAAAGTTGCAGGATTTCTCCTAATGCTAACCAAAGTACTCATTTTTAAACCATAATGTTATTTAGTTATGAGTTATAAGGACTTGATGGAACAAAAAACAGGTTTATTAAATTATATTTCCATATTCTTATGTATCCACTTGCTGATTTATTAAACCTCTCCTTGTCTACTTGTGAGTTACCAGCTATCTGGAAATCAGTACACATCACTCCAGTTCATAAAGTAGGCGATGTCTCAGTATCCATCCCTAGCTGGGCCACTCGGAGGCTGCTTCTGGGCCAGATGTGGCTCGCGGGCCACAACTTGAACTTGGTCTGACTCAGGATGTGATCAATATGTGTCATCATTACAGGTTATCTCACAAGCAGGTTTGGATTAGAGTTTGTCGGTTACCAGAGATTGTAATTGTTAATCAGAGATTGTGGTTTGTCTTTATTCTAATAAATATATTTGAGCACATTTGTATCTCCACAAGTTTTTATTCAAATGCTACAAAACCTGATATTCTTTGGATGGTAGGTAAGTGTTTTAAATAGTGTTCAGATGTGAGTCTGCAGTGTCAGTGTGAGTCAACAGTGAGTCTGCAGTGACGTTCAATATGTTGTAATTTGTTCCTTCCTATTTCATCTAATTTTTAGCCACATTTCACCAAAATATTTGCAATACACCTGGAACCAGGAGAATGATGTGTGATGTCCTCCAAAGTTTTGTCACTGTGGCCACTGTACTCTAGAAATTTAGTCTTCCCCTGATCTGTGCCTGAACACAATCCTGTCTCTGAGCTCTGCCTTCCACTTAATGGCTTGTTCTTCGCTCTAACATACCTACACTGTCAGCTGTGAGACGTTATATAGACAGGTGTGTATGTAAATGTGATATTCCAGTTTTTTAAAATTAAATTTGCGTTCTTCTAAAATCCTGTTTGCCTAGTTGGGGGAAATTAATTTTAGCATGAGATGATAACAATAATGATAATAATAATAATAAAAAAACAACAGATAAACATGTTTTTAAACTTTATTCATGCTCCCACAACAATCACTATGAATAATGACCAACAAAACGTTTAAAATGACATTAGAGGTAGGAGTCTAAAATAGCATTTGAAATGTTAAAAGGACTGTTAAGGGTGCACATTAGGATTAAAAAATGTGTGCTTTTCTTTAAATCCCACTCAGTTTAAATGTTATGTGTTGTCTAGCATCCCAACCATTACAGTTTGTATGAATATGATATAAACACAATCTCCAAGTATTTACACAATGTTGACAAAAGCATGTATTTTCGATATGCAAGATGTTTTTCATTCAAAATAGATTTGATACACAACTGGATCATTTTTTGTCAAGGATGAAAAAATATAATCCATCAACAAAATAAATTAGATGAAATGTTGGAAAAACATTGATCATTCTGATTTTTATGTACGGTACAAAAATGAGAACACCATTTCCAAGTAGGACACCAGCACACTTAGAAGAATTTGGTAGTGATTATTATGCATAATATGCAAGTCAGCATGTAAAGTCATAACGGTCAACAAATTACAGGACGCCTCAAAATGTCAGATGAACAACTTGCAGCAGGATAGGATAGGAGGGCAGAACATAATGCTGCATTCAAGAGGTGATACAAAGTGGAAAATTCTGACTACATGATCAAAAATGACCAAAAGGAATTCTAACAGTAATAATTACAAAAAAGGCCCTTCATGATTTATTGACCAAAAGGCCTCAGTGGTCTACACTGTCTCTTATGTAGCTAAAACAATTAATATTCTGAAATTTGATTTCCAAGACTTCAGAGAGGTTTTATTGTTCAGTAGTTGATCGTTAGTTAATTGTGGGGGTTTTTCCATTTCTCTGTTCAACAAGAATAAGCTGTCTTTAACATATGTATCTTATTTTCTTCCATACAATCAGGGATTAAACTAATAAACTCTTCTCATCTGTAACTGAGTAAAATGCAAGCAAACATATTTTCTTAACTGTTGCCCTGATGAAGGGCTGCATCTAACAATAAGTTTAATTATCAGTTAACCTGTCTGTTCAAAAACCCAAAGATAACAACTTACAATCATGTTAAACAGAGAAAGAAAAGGCAAATTCTCACAATTCAAAAACTGGTGCATGTTTTTGTACTGAAGCTAATAAAAGAAACAATTCCTTAAATTATAGCAGCCAATGAATTATTAACATTGAAATTTGTACACCACTTAATTCAGAGTATTGCAATATTTTACTTTGAAAACCACGCAACTAAATTTGTTCTAAATTCACTTCTGAAATTAAAATTAATAATTCAATGTTCACAAATTCTGATCCAAAAATGTAAATTTCAGAATTTAAAAAAATGCTCAAATTTGATTACTCAAATTCAGATCTAAGAATTTCAATCCTATGAATTCAGTGGTGTTTAAATTTCGATATTAATTATTATGTGGCTATTAAAATTGAAATATTATATCTCTTGTTTGCTTCCATAAGGTTGCCAGTTCAGAGATGGGTCAATGATGTGACACCCTCTAAATTGATAAATCCTCTTGTAATTAAAGAGTGATGTCATCCAGTCTAATAAGTTTGCTTATACTGTCAACTAGTGGGTGCCTTAGTTTTTTTTTTCCACGCCCTGCATGGCATTGATGTAGTGTATATCTATAGCATGGTCACACCAGAAATTGACACAGTGAAAATTCCTGGACCTGGCAAGCTAAGAGGAATTTTCCATCTCTACCTTTGAAATGGAGTGCAGGAGACGTTCCTTCATGACAGTACAAGTTAAAGACAAAAAATACATGTAAGTTATCATAATGAACACCCAACAACTAAAAACCAAAGCAGTAGTCAGTAGTAAGTGGTAGTAGGTCAGCAGATTGTACAAAATTCAAAGCAAAAGTGCAGTCAGAGAGAAACACTACAGTATGTACAACATGAGCTTATCTCAGAATCCAACACAGGCAGCGGTATCTGAATTCTGTAATTACATTACAACACTTTTTTTTTTTTTTTTTTTTTTCCCCCAAGGAGCCCAACACTGGTAGAGGAATAGGCTTTCGAGAACTTGGGACTGCTGATAAAGTGGGCTATTTAAATATATACTTATAAAGTGCATTATGGTTCAGTAGGTAGTGAAATACATTTATCAAGTTTTCAAATTGTTTATTATTCTGTGCTCTCTCCTCTTGCATAAATAATAAATTGTGGTTTATAACACGAAGAAACTCAAGAGCGGAATCTATGAATTAGTGTTGTTACGATAACTGAAATGATGATCCGGTCCAATTTCAAATCATGTAACAACTGTATTCATCACGTAAGGCAGGAATCAGAGCAGTCATGATAACTTTTTAAGTTAACCTCAGTGTTGAAATATCATGCTACTTCTTTTTGACGTATCAAATATTGTTTTGTCATTATCAGGACCGACGTGTTTTTATCTCAAAATAGCAGGAATTTAAACTTCATGGTATGGCTAAAAAAGTCATCTTAAAATTGTTCTATCTTTACAAACAAGCATGCCATAAAGCAGCAAAAATGATTGAGCAGTAAGCCTAGTATCCAAGAATCAAACTTATTACAATACAATATTTCTGGATTACTGGCATCGCTGATACTTTCAGGTCTGGCATATTTTGCTGAATGTAAAAAGATTTGCAAAGAAACATATTTATATTCCTTTAACTAAGGATTGAGGAATGTGTAGGATTGTATTTGAAACCAAAACTATAATATCGTTTTGGCAAAGACACTGAAAGATTTCAGACACCCTATTTGAATGAAATGAGTGGTTAAGCAGTGACCTTTGGATCACAATCTTATGAGATACTTTTAAGCAACACAAAAACATAAGTTGCTATCCTGACAATATCAAACAATTCAGTGATGCTGACAACAAACAGTCTGTTACCTCCAGACCAGAGGCCTTAAAAATTTATCAGCAACTATGGCTGCTTCCAGAGAGTGGCGTGAGATAAAATTCCTCATCAGCATCACCTCAAAAGAGTGATAACATACTCCCTTACAAATACAAGAAGAGGACAAAGGAAAAGAAATGGATAGTCAGAGCTGCAGCTGGTCGAGCAAACATTGAACAATGTCTGCAACTGAGGAGCAGTTAAACTAAACTAGCTGAAACATTAGGACACCTTAATGCTTTTACTTTGACTGGACAAAAATGCACAGATTCACACTGCATTCAGCAAGAGAAAAAAATTGGAAATGTTATCTTGTAATCATTACAAGATCTATATCTCATAATCACGATGATATTATGAGATCATTTTAAGAAACTGTACTCATAAATAAGTTATATGTCTTTTAGTTAAGAGAAACATATCTTTAAATTATGATACAGATCTTCAAATTATGAAATATTTGTCTTGTGTTTCTTGCAACTTCAAGGTAATTACCTAGTTTTTTTAACTGGTTATATTCTTGTAATTGTGAAATACGTATCTCTTTATTATTAGTTTTCCTATAATAATGAAATGTAAACGACACTGACAACACTGGGGAATTTTTTAAATCATGAGATCGAGATTTTCTAATTATGGGATGGTTTTCTTACAGTCCTAAGATACAAATTTATGACACATGTAATTACAGTATAATGATCTCATAATTAAAAAACAGTTTTCTTGTTATTACAAGAGATATTTATGTTGAAAGTCTTCTTGTAATGACCAGATACACGTCTTGTATTAATGGAACATTTTTCTTGTGATTAGATCCGTATTTCATAATTATTAAACAATTTTCTTCTGATAACGAGTTGAGGATCTCATAATTATATTAATTCTTTCTTACAATTGCGAGATACACATCTACTAAGTATGTCATAGTTTTCCTGTATTTAAGTAATATAGATGTCATAATTTGAGATACGAACTACAAGACAGTATTTCTGTAACTATAAAAGAGAAATCTTGTGTTTAGAGGTTTTCCTACAGTCATGGGACACAGATCTCATGCTACAAGGCATGCAGGCAATGAAATACAAATCTTATTATCGTGAGATAATTGTGCAGCATTAATGGATCATTTTTTTCTTTGCTGAATGCAATGTGCTTCCATAAGAAACATAATTTCTTATCTTAGAGTGGATTTCTTCTGGTATTTATATTGAAGTAAACATCATGGTATGGTGGCAGCAGCAGTTTCCTAGACACGGCAGGTGGGGGAGAATGGAAAACACAGTGAACCATCTAAGGCCAGCTTCCGGGGCCCGAGTCAGACAACAGTGTTGGGGTTACTCAGCAGGATGTGGGATGTTGAATGGCTTGGTCACTGCTCTGATAGAGGTGGTGTTCCCTCCGCAGTCCACGTACTGGTACATCTCCTGAGACACCTGCTCCGCATGGCCAAAGTACGCCGTGGTGACAGTCACTCTGCAGAGGGCGGAGAGGGATGAGGTGAAGCCACAAACACACACTACACACAGTCAGCTCAGATGTTTAGATTAATATGAAAATAAAGTGTATCAGAAGAACTCACTGCATCATGACGACAATGTTGTGGACCTTGATGGTTTGCAGAGTGCAGTAGTCACTGGAAAATAAAACAAGTGCAGGTAAGTGTGTGTTGTGGACTGATTAAGAAATGGCTGACAATGCTTACAAACACTAAGAAATTCCTTCTCAAGCTGGTTTCTCCAGGTGTGGGATGATTACAGTAAAGACAATAAAAGAGTTGAAACAAACCATGTCGGGTGATACCCTCAAATTCACTGATAGGGGCGTTCCTTATATTGTTCATGATAAAACTGACATAATTCTTCAAAAATAAAATTTGTCATATAATGATATAAACTAGGGCTGCTCCCTAACAGTCAACTAAACCTTAGTCGACCAGAAAGTTCATTAGTCGGCAAGATTTCATTGCTCACTTAGTCACAGAAATAACAAAAAAAAACAAAAACGTGAAACTCTATTAGGAGCTGTGCCTTGTCAAAATAAATCAAAACGTATATGACAGGACCATGTGGGAGTTTAATTTGAAAGGACAGACACAGGAAGTGTCCACCCTCAGCAGTCAGGTTACAAACCAATCACAGCAGACAGATATCTTTCTCTTCTTCTGCAAATATTATAAAATATATCATATTATAATATAGTATATATTATATTATCATATAACATAACATATAATCAATATAATTTACAGAGCTGGTACCTGCAGTTATTACACAAGCTAGTTAAAAACACGACGTATCATCTGAAACACGAAGTAGCAACATGCCCATTAGCCGACAGCGTTGTTAACAGGCAGCTTGCTCAGTGTGTGACGTGCACTTGTAGATAAAATATAGGCCTATATTAATGAAGGTTCATTAGTACGGTTTTGTATTTCTCTATAATGTAGCACAGTGTTAACAATGTTACTGATACTATTCGTTCCCACACATTCAACTCAAACCATTGTGTTGCCCCGCCCAATATATATATAATTTAATAATTAAATTAATATAATAAACATGTGGGCGACTAGTCGATTAATGGCCCTAAATGACGACTATTGGTTGACAAGGAAAATCTTAATCAGGGGCAGCCCAAAAAATAAACAGTGGTTCCAAACTGGTCCAGCCACAGGATCCAGATTTCTCCTTGGTCATCAGTTTAAGGTCCGCACAGTTTTATTCAGTGTCATACTTGTGTTTGGCCCTGTTGTTCCGTTAGTTTGCTGTCTCTGTCAAGTTGCTGTCAATTAGTCACTTAGTCTAACGCAGGAAACTGCACTTAAAAATAAAAGCTCTGTGTCGGGAATCCACTGTACTTAAAAATAAAGTGTATTTTTTTCTAAACTAAAGTTTTTCTAAACCCACTTTTGGACTGTGACCCATGAGCTGGGATAAATGAAACTGAACCTTGTAATCTTGTAACAGTACTTACTACATGTAGCTCATCTCATCTGCAATGATGGTGGGGACCATGTAATCAATCTGAAAACAGAAACAGTGTAGGGTCAGAGTTGTACCCACGCAGACAAATGGTTAGGTGATGGTCATTGAACTGTACCTGTTTCATGTCCAGAGGACTGATGGCAGTGATGTTACTGATGCGAGATTTACCGATCACAGTCTTGGCAAACTGCACCTGAGCTGTGATGTTGGCCACCTCCACTGAGTAATAGTTGTTGTTGGTGATACTGAGGGTGTTCTGGAAGAGAACCGACATTGGAAGAGTTCATTAGTACTGATAAGTTTCATACATCTGGCAGAGGCCATGTGTTTCCTTAACTGTCAATACCCCAAAAACACTGTGTTATATATGCTATATTGTGGCTGAGTGTTTGTGGGTGAGGGAAGAGCCACACAATTTGATTTAAAGTCCAAGTGTGTGGGACACATATGTACATAACACAGTACTTTTATCAAAGCAAAGACATTAGAACATAATTGTTACATCTTACAGACGATCAGTAGGATTTTGGAAACAACAAACTCACTCCTCAGCAACACAAATGGCTTGATGGCTGGTTGATAATGTTAGCCTCACCTTAGATCATAAACCAAAAGCTTTACTTTGTGTACTCCTCCTACTTAGGTAATGTGGTTGCTCCTCTCATGCTTTTGATAACAGTAATCCCAAACTTCAATTCTTCTGTTAAAATAGCAAGCAAGATTGACCTGCACCATTGTGTTTCAAAGTGTTTCCCACCTGTCTAGCGCTACTGCCGAAAAGTGACTCTGTATTCCGTGCACTACTCTACTCAAAATATCCCTAATAATGGCTGTAAAAACAATACTGTCAAAGAACAAAACATTTTTACAGTAGTTCAACGAGGCTCAGTGCACCAAAAACGATGATCCACTAACACCAGCAATACTAGCAACTGTCAGAATGAGCCTGTTAGATATACACTACTGACATCTACTGGATCTAGACAGGAACAACAGCAGTTGGAAAAGGATCCAAATTAGACACAGAAGAAAAATGCAAACAATATCAATATACATCAAGAGTGATGTAGAGGAAGCCAGGACTGAAGCCATGACAGTACAGAAGACTTCTGCGTTTTCCTTTGCTCTCCTCAGTATCCATTTTATCAGCCTATTTATAAAACTCCTACTGGAGAACAAATGAGATGAATCATTCCTGTGATGTCACCACCTGGTTTGTTTAAAGATGGCTGCGCCCTATTGGTGAAAAAGTGGAATACTGTCTAGTTTTCTAGCAAATCTGAGTGAATATCAAGTTTGATTGCAGTGCCATATCTTACTTTAAGTAAAAATTAAATGAGCCACTGTCTTATCGTTCAGTGTTTCATCTCTTTTTAAGGTCATAAATCCAATAATTGTCCATTTCGATTTTCAGCTATATCCCTTGTGTTGCTGCGTTCTTTTGTTTGTTGACTAAAGCTGAAGCTCACCGTGATGTTCAGATAGACGCTGCGCTTTTCTTGGTCGTAGCTGACGAAAACAGACTTCACCCCGACGTAGGACACATCGATGGAGCGAGGGAAGAGGAAGAACACAGCCAGACTGGACAGTAACAGGCAGACCACCACTGAAGCTGTTACATACAACTTCCTGAGGTGGAGACAAAATGACCATATGATTATCTTGCAAAACACACAGTGTGAGCTAATCATATTGAAGAGTGCCAACTGATCACAAATGACACTGACTGATGTGAGTGGTCTTTATTCCTTCTAAACCTCATTCAGTATTTTGATATCAGGAATATTATTTATTTCATTGACATCTGAGATTTGTTTCCACTGTGACAGAACTGACTTTATATATTGATTTTGCTATTGTAAACATTGGTGTTGCTGCTCTAGAAACATTTAGTTATATCAAAAATATTCAGTTCTAATCCTGTTTTGAATTTCTTCTTCTTTTTTTTTTTTTTTTTTCAAATAACATAATTTTGGGAACCCACTGGCTCACCTGTAGCACATGCGCCCCATGTACTGAGGCTGTGTCCTTACCACAGTGGCCCAGGTTCAATCCCAACCCCTGGCCCTTTGCTGCATGTCTCCCTCTCTCCTCCCTGTCCTGTCACTCTTGCATTGTACTATCAAATAAAGGCAAAAGCCAAAAAGAAATCTGAAATCAAACAGTCCTGGAAAGGAAACACAAAGATATAAGCACTTACGTCCTCCTGGGTCGCAGCCTTTGGTCACTGTATGGAATCAATGCCACAAGTTGATTTTCTTGTCCTGAAACAGAGGTAACAGTCAATGATGAGTCACTGTCAGCTGTTCTGGAAACTAAGTCTCTTGTGCAACTAAAGCCTCTTTCACATCATGGCCTGCCTGGTTTACTTTAGGATTACCACTTGATATTGTAAAGTCATGAGGCAATGGAAGGCAACTAATTTTTCAGTCTTCAGTGTGAGTCTCTAACATTAAACTACTCCATTATGACTGTTTTCACAGTGGTGTTACCTCTGGGGATCCTCCCAGTGCCCTGACACGTGGGACACGTCACACTGTCCCGTCCTGTGAACTCCACATAAGGAAACTGGGAAACATCTCCTCCCTTTCCGTCGTCAGTGTGGGTGTCCTCCAGAGGAGAGGTCAGGCTGTCCTGACCCTCGTCATGGCCTGTCTGCTTAGCAAGGTGGGAAAAAGACTTCCCCATAGTCACACCTGGAAGGCAAACACAAGAAAAGTCTGTGATTCACACTGTCTGATGGATACATCCACTAGCGATCACATCTGAGGCTTTTCACTCATTAACATGACTGTATGCTCACTGTGAGGTTTATTCAACAAGTAAAGACAGAAGAGAAGGAAAAAAAGACAGAAAAAAGACAATACACTGAGGATTAATCTGACTGTATAAAAAAAAGGAGAAGCTGGTTTGTACTCAGCCCTGAAAATCTTGACTTCAAGGCATATTCTCTGCAAAATAAAAATAATATAGCTCTGAGAACCTGAAATTATATTTAGATCCTTCATGTGTTGTTTATATTCCCAATTTTTCATGCCTTGATAGTTCACACTTAAATTTGATGTCATGGTACCTTCTTTTTTGTGTGTTTAGCTTTTTTTTAACCCTATCTACAAAATTGTTCAAATGCATTGTGATTTGAACAATTTATTTTATTTTAAACACATCTTTCTTACTTACTGGTCTTGCCAGCCAAAAGCTCTATGCTGGCCTCATTTTCTATCTGACCGGCTATTTAAGAATTTTGGGAGCTCCATGTAGAGGACAATTATTAAAAACGCAGGGAGGTTTGGCTTTACAGGCTCTGAAATAAAGATAAATGTTGACTCCTCAGAAAATCACAGCAAATGCAAACAATACAGTCAGATCAAACTGCACCACTTTGTAAACTGAGTTTGAATGTCATATCTTGAAATATACATTAGACCAATCATTGCTTATGATTGGTTTTACAAAAACAGTGTTTAGAGCAGTTATTAAAAATATAAAATTAACAACATGGGGTTTTAAAAGTGACAACTGACAGTCAACAGGCTCAAAGGACCAGCCATCAGCTCCGCAACTTTCTCAGTTGCATTGCATGTGTAGCATTACAGGGGAATACTTTGTGCCCAAAACCTGATGGCATCATCTAAACTGAGGCCAGTCTATTGTAGCTAATATTAACACCGCTAACATTAGCTTAGTTTGGGCCTGTGAACTTAAATCTAACGTTACGTCTAATAGCCACGAAGGCAGCTTATATTAGTAACATTAACACAGTTGGGGAGTGGTTACCCTCGCTGTCCATGAAGCTACACACTTTCTGCAATCAACTGAAGTGAACATACAAGCTGTCAAAATGCCTCCTTCAAACATAACCTCACCAAGCTGATAGAGCTTATTAGCTAACGCTAGCTAGATGACTGCTAACAGATTCCACAGTGGCAATTAGCCGCGGCGATAGCTAGCGTTAACTCAGCTAGCTAGTTTACTACCAAACACAGTTTGTCTATCAGAAGTTATTATTTGAAACGCTACATAACACGTACTTCAAGTGAAATAAGGCCAGGGAAGATTACCTGAATGCGACTCTTTGTTAAACGTTGACAGACTACTGCTGCTGATGGCTCATGTAGGTTTGTTTATCCTTTGAGAAACAGACATGCGTCCGTGTGATGCGTTCATAGCCATGGGAAAGCCCGTCATTTGAGTGCTGCATGGACATTAGTATTACAGTCGCTAATTGTTTTAGGCTGAGAAAGGGGCTATTATTTAACTTTATGTGTGTGTGTGTGTGTGTGTGTGTGTGTGTGTGTGTGTGTTTTTTTCTTAAATGTAATAGTAGTTGAGAATTCGATGTAGAAATATACATATATTGCTGATTTTAACATTGCCGAGCTCCTACCATCGAAAAAATATGAATTAGCAGAATCTGTTACATTAGACGTACTGTACTGTATTTCTTGAGCAGAACCTGAAGGTTTTTGTTTCCGTTATGTTTCTTTTCCCTACGTTTTATTTATTTGTTGTAGATTTTAATTATTTTTTACATGATTTTTATGTTATGAAATATATATATATATTTTTCCTATAAAGAGTTTATTTTAAAAAAGAAAAACGTTTCTAACTCGACGTAGTTAATTTTTGTAAGCATTGGAAATAATTAAGTCAGGTGCTAGATAGATAGATAGATAGATAGATAGATAGATAGATAGACAGATTTTTCTTCTTTTTCTTCTTCTTCTTCTTCTTTCACACAGTGCTGATAAGCTTTCTTAAATCCCAACACCCTTTGAGCAGCACTTTAATATTATCATTAATTTGTAGTTTATTAGAGAGAGAACAGTTTCTTCTAAAATTCAACGTGAAGTTGTTATTTCACGTTGCGACTGCAATTTTAGAATTCATCCACTTGGTGGCAGTGTTTATCTAAATTCATTAATGTGGGTTAGGCCATCCATTTACACATTTGGCAGTACTCACCTGGTTACCTATCAAGAGTTTAAGTCAGTTATGTTGTGCCAGACATCTAGATGCCTGATAAGCTGGATTTTTGGCCCCATAAATGAAAACAAATCTACAGAATGCACTGCAAAAAAAGGATTAAAAGTATTATTCTACCATGTTTCAAAATAATAACACACTTCTTAATGCAACAATATTAGGAGAAATTGAAGGAGGGACAACTTGAATTATGTCAACCCATTAGCAGATTGTTTTCATTTAATAACAAACAAGACATCGAGCCCTGATATAAAACTGAAAAGGACAAACGGTTCCTAAAGTGTGATCTGTCACTTCCAGTAAGATATAAATTTAGGACCTATGTGCTTTAAGGTGCTAGAAGAAGAAGGCTACTGGTGTCGAGAAACTGAGAGACTTAAACTTAGACTGGAAATGTAAGTGTGATGACATCCTCACTGAGAATTAGAGGTAGCTATTTGTCTACATTTTGACAAGTTCTCACATTATGTGGTGCTGATTACGCTCTCAGTTGCCATAAGATCCCTTTCCAATAATAACATTACTCCTGCTCAGTCTCTCATGCTTCTTGTTTTTTGCATAATCAGATTTCATAATCAGCTCATGAGATAAAGAGGGTATGCCAGTGCAAAATATCCTCATGATCACTACTGATGACATGCTCTGAAACCAAAAATGTGTTGTCAGCCTCATCAGCTGCTGTAAGCTCTATAGGAGACACCAAAACCAGCGCACCTCACTGTGGATGATCCTACAAACGGAAATTTCCACCTGTAGCTCTCTGAATAAACGACTGGTTGAACACAACAAATGCTTCCATAAATGTTATGAGATTCCCTGGATGGTTTGATGAAAACTATGTGAATCATATGCCTTCACAGTCACCAGATCTCAACCTCTGGGAGAGACTTGTCAGACAGTGCTCCCCAACACTGTCATGCACACTACATTTTTACAATAAGTGGTTTCCCGTATTACCAAGAGGCCGCTGACCAGCTCCCAGAGGAGGGAATATGATCTTGTTACTTTCACCTTGAACTGAAGCCGCACACTTTCGATCTTTGTCCCTCAGACCTGAGTGCCTCAGTGCCTGCTGAGTGGTTATGATTCATCAAACTTTCAGTATACACAAAAAAAGTAAAAACCCAAAGTTGTTTTTCAGTTGGTCTGTTCTGTATTAATGACAGATGTGTTATTTCACACAAAATTAAGTAATTCAATTTATTTTTCCGTCATGTTTAAGTACATTATTTAAATCTCATTAATGGATGGGTAATGTAAGAAAAACAACTAGTTCGTACATGTTGTTAAGCATCATTGGCAGAGGCATAGATTACAGGGGGACACAGGGGACATGCGCCCCTCTACATTTACATGAAAGTAGCAAAGGAGATTTATTTTAGCAAAATTAAAAACCTTTCCACCAAAAATTGAAAAGGTACAAATTGGTGCAGGAAATTGTGTTTAATGCTCGAAATTGTATGGCAGAGGATCCTAAAACTCCCTGTTCTACATATGCCCCCTCCAAATGTTAAAACTAAACTCACGCCCTTCCTTGTATATAAATGTACTTGTGTACAATGTAGCAGTTTTGTTGTAATTCATACTTGTTTAGACAATGTAAACATATGTTTCCTGGGCCAATAAAGCCCCTCTGAAATTAATTAAACCCCACTGTACTAAAAGGCAGTGCACTTACTTAACACAGCAAGGTGTTAGAGGCACTTCTGCTTTCGATTTAATAAACATTTTGCCATATTTTATCGGGGTTGAACGCAGCCCTGTTGTCTTCAATTATGGACACTTCATGTGCCCTCTAGTGGTAGTAAGAGAACAATACACCAAACCATGTAAAAACAAGATGGTCGACAGACGATCTCAACTCAAAAGTGGACAAGGTACAAAACCTGAGGTGGTGGGGGGGGGGGGCTATCCCAGTTGATACTGGGCGAGAGGGGGCGTACACCTTGGACAGGCCTCCAGACTATTGTAGGATTAACACATAGAGACAGACAACCATTCACACTCACATTCACACCTACGGCCAGGTTAGAGTCACCAGTTAACCTGCATTTGTTTGGACTGTGGGAGGAAGCCGGAGTACCTGGAGAAAACCCACACTGACACAGGGAGAACATGCAAGCTCCACACAGAAGGGCTCCGCCACCCTGGGGTTTGAACCCCTCATCCCGAGTTCAAACCAGAAACCCTCTTGCTGTGAGGCGACAGTGCGTACATTTATATATGGCTATATTGCCCACCCCTACAATTTACACATTAATCAGACACAGATCAACATTAGCAGTCATCTGGAGTCATGTTTGTATCTTGCTCTTTAGTTGCTAAATGCTCCACAGTGCCCATCAGCGAGTCATTACCTTTGTCTGTCTGCTGTTTGGCTCTGGACAGAAAGTGTACTGCGTTCTCACTGAAAACAGCCTTTTGCTATGGCTGGAAACTATTGTAAATGCATTAAATGATACTAATATAAGTACCGACAATTACCATGCCTCAAGGGGTTCCAAAAGTATGCATCCTAAACCTATGAATTGGTGCAAAAGATGAATCTATCACAAATATATTAAATAACAAAATTGAACTTTTGTGAAATCCACCTCACGGCACCACCCTTTAAAAAGGATAAATGATAGCCAATTAATGAATTCAGTCTCAATTCTGGAGGTTACAACTAAGTTCTTGGCTGGTGTACAGAGACCAACTCACTACAGGCTATTTATGATATATTAAAAATTTATTCATAAATATTTCCTCCAGACATTAAAATACCTCGCTTTGAGTAATACTTTATGTGATATGAATAGTAATCATGTTTTGTCCACAAAAAAGTTCAATGACCTTGTTAAAAATTCTTAAAATTACACCTACTCGTTCTCCATCAAAACCCCTCAGAATTTCTGAATATGTAAAGATTGTTCACTTTCAAAGTTTAACTGCCTGACACAAAATCTCTCCCACTCAGTCCCATGGACCGAAAAGTCCACTCTGTGTTTGTGACCTGGAGGCTTCAAGTTTGTACACTGTCTCCAAACTAGTTGTGATGTCACAAATCTTGCTGAGATTCAAGATAATTCTTTATAAGACGTTTTTCATCATGTTGTCTTCTTGTCTATTAAGAACTTCCTTTTTCAAATATTAGTACTTTTTTCTCAAAAGTTACAAATATGTTCTTGAAATAACAGCTTTGTTCTCATCATATTACACCTTTTTTCTTTAACTTTTGACTTTGGTCTTCTGACTAGAGGACTTTTTTCTCAAAATATCTTAACTGAATTCTTTCAATCTCCGGTTGTATCACCCTGACCGTGGTTGTCGTAAGTAAGGCACTGAGAACTGCAACATTATTAGTTTTGTGTTTAGCGCTGCAGCCTATAGGGGCCGACGGTGAGGTTTTTGACTGTTAGTCTTGTTACTGAATGTGTTGCTGGGTGGTTGCTGCCGAGATATCTCCACTCAGCCTCTGTGTTGTGTGTAGAAATGGGAGTGGTCCGCTGCTCCCCTGCCTCAGTTGCCGAAGAAAAACATGGCTGACCCACATTCTAGGAATATCACCCTTCAGTACAGAACCTGAATAATGGATACTTTGTCATAAAGACACATGGGACGCCGTGTGCATCCCATACAGAACTAGATAGCATGTCTGAACCTATAGAAGCATTTCAAAGCCACTGAGGCAGATCAAAGACAAAATTCATAACAGCTTGTTTTTATCTTGTATTGCCTCTTAAACACCTTCTTCCCTGTTTCTTAAGCCTCTTTTCCCCTGTCACTCGTCCTCCACGATGCTCCTGGATCCTGCCGCTCTGCAGCAGCAGACCACACTGACTGGCATCATGAGCTGAGCGCTAGTTAAGAGCATGACATTTCCAAAACAACAGCCAGGCCATTCGGGAACATGAATTACCTCTGTTGATAGCACACAGAAACAAGTGGCTCCAATTAACCCCGCTGTGTTCTCACAGCCAGCCCAGTGCTCACCCATTTCCCAGCATCCTCTCTGAGATTGATCAGTAACTCAGTGTTAAACCTCAGTCATGCACTCAGGAAATAGCCAGTTCTTTTTGTATTTCAACCAAACATGTTATCGATTTCATCTCATCTCATACTTTGTGATGCAAGAAGTGTGCTGAACTTAAAGGAAAGTACATATCAATATATAGATTTAAGAAGCTTTTCTTTTAATTTTTCATGCAGAAAT